CTAGAGCACACGAAGCCCTCCTGAGCATCATTCTCTTTTAACCACTTTCTCAATGGCCATGTTTCACAGTCATAAGGAAGGACAATGTGAACTCCTGAGCAGTACACATGTCCTTCAATCGATAGCTGGATATCATATCCACTCCAGAGATGACGTAGATCGGCAAAGGCAACATTCATATGCAATAATATTTCGCCAGAAAAAAAACACCTCGTTGAATAAAGTGTCAAAAGCATTGTCATCAAAAACCGACAATAAGACACAGGAAAGAATAAAAGAAACTACAAATTTGTGAAAAAAAGTGTGACGGTAGAAGTCGAGAGACTCGGTAACGAACATCTTTTTTAATTGAGAAATCCATCACACCATATTTGTATATATTTTTAGCCACATTTATGATTGGCTAATTTAGAGAATAATAAACTGTTCTGATTGGTTGTTGATCTCTTCCGAAGGTTAAAAAAACCTTGAAATTATTTCCAGACCACAATGTAACCTAGACACTGACTTCAAATGTTGTTTTCAACTTTGGCTACTTCCTATCACAATCTGGGTCTACATACTACTGTTGAGAATTCTTGTCAGTAGTAGTACAGACTACAAAACCCCATATTTCAATCAGCATTAAGAATATAAATTTTGTGCATTTTCATGAACCCATATACACATAAACAGAAAGCAGTTAAGCGTTAAAAAGTGGTTTAATAGGTTAAGATTATGAGAGATTTAGGGTAGTTTTATGAGAGTCAAACAGCAGAGGCCAGCACTAATTCGCTCAGAACAATGTTTACGTCCCGGATCAGGGTCATAAGAAAAAAGCAATAACAACAAAGCTTAACCTTGAGGAACTCACCAACCAATCACAGCAGACTTAACATGTGCAAATACGATTCGCAGATATATGGCTTAACTATCTGAGAAACGGTCACAAGCAGTACAGCGGAATAACCTTCAGTAAGAAAACAACCAATCAGAAGACGTTGCTTCTCTGTGCTGACAATAATGTACATAAAAATCTATAAATAGCTCTTGATTTCCTCAACAAAAGATATGTTGCCTGGTCCTTGTCTTCTGTCATTATGTTGATGCATATGATCACTTACAGAAGATACTTTTGAACTGTGATCTACTGATCTGATTGATTCACTTTCTTTCTTTTTTTTAAAAAAATAACAACATTAATGTTGTCAATAACAACAATCATCAGTCGACAATGATTTGATTATAGATGCATAACTGTAGAACCTGATTGAAGAGTAGGAGGAGGCTTTCGTAAAATGTGAATCAATATTCTTTGTTCAGCTCTAATCTCAATATTTAAAAAAAAACAGATTGCGGTATCTGGTGAAATTCATCGATCCGCTGATTGATTGATTGATTGACATATAATATACAGTGAAAACTTGAAAATTATTATTGTTATTTTTTTAAACAAAACTGATTTCAAATAGAAAACTTATCTGTATACAATAATTTCTCAAAATCTACACACACACACAAACACCCAAAAGTGACAGAAAGCTGAATTATCAAGTGATTTATGCATACAACAACCCTAGTCGGATGATGATGTCATGCATAGATATCATATACAGAGGTGATTTGAGATCATATTATCATTATTATTATTAGTATTAGTATTATTTCCAAGGGTTTTTCCAGGTGAAACATTCAGAGTTTCAAGAACACATCACTACTATCTAGCTGACTCAACGATAGCCTATAAGCTCTCATCTCCTCGATGTTACCCTCGATGTGAGATGCCCAACATGGCGTTTTTCACAATCGGGTTCCACCACTTGCGAGAGAGCTTGAAAACACTTAGCGGTCTCTTCAACGTGCACAAATGCAATTTCATTTTCTTCAGCATGTTTGTTGGGCAAAAGATTCTTCGTTGGTTCGTTGCCTGAAAGGGTGCGGGGCGGGGAGGTGTGCAGGTGTTGATGGAAATCATCATAAGTCACATGTTGCAGGAAATAACTTCAGTGACGCGTGGGTCAAATCTCTAAGGCATATAACAGCACTGATAAACTTAGATATGATAGAGAAGATTTGTAGCTCAGGTGAATGATTTTGATGTGGTTGTGTTCTCTGAGCTGGATAGTTAATTTGCGAAGCTTTCATCGCCCCACCACTCACTAGGCAACATCTTTAGCGCATACTTCAATTTAATGAAGTGAACTTTTAGATTTATCCACGAGTTTATTAATCTTCTCTCCTGGTGGGTGACCTTGGACGTGACTGGTTGTTTTTGTGTGTTTTCACAACATCTAGGTTACTTGTATTGGAACTGATTGTTTCTTTGACTTGAACTTTGACCCTAAAGGTGATCCTTTCCGTAAGGTGGGAGTGTTGCAACACTTCCCCAAGCCAACCTATCAAACCAAAAGCCCCCAAGGAAAGCACAAAGAAAATCGCCCTACCATATATAAAGGATATTTCAGAATTCACTGCAAGACCCTTCAAACCTTCATGAATTGACGTCGCACACACACAAACCAAAAAAAATCACTTAACTCAATTCTATGTCAACCAAAAGACTCAACAACGAAAGAAGATAAAATCAACATCATCTACAAAATATAAATTACAACAACTGCGAAAAACACTACATTGGCAAAGGTGGACGTCTCTTTCGTCTTCGTATCCACGAACAGAAGCTAGCCGTCAAAAGACATGACATCAACTCCCTCACTCATTTCGCCTCACTGCATACCGACAACCATGGATATCAATTCGACTGGGACAACGTTCAAATATTAAACAGATGAAACACCAAGAATGCCAGAGACTTTTTAGAAGCCTGCCTGGTATTCCAGTGAATCACCAATCAATAGACACATTGACATAGACAAAATTTACCAGTCGATAAGAAGGAAACCTCACACACTCACACAAAGGATCAAAGTTTAAGTCAAAGAAACAATCAGTTCCAATACAAGTGACCTAGATGTTGTGAAAACACACAAAAACAACCAATCACGTCCAAGGTCACCAGGAGAGATGATCAATAAACTCGTGGAGAAATCTAAAAGCTCACTTCACTTCAAATTGAAGTATGCGCTAAAGATGTTGCCTAGTGAGTGGTGGGGCGATGAAAGCTTCGCAAATTAACTATCCAGCTCAGAGAACACAACCACATCAAAAACTGATAAACTTGAACATTAGAGTGTTGGAAAGCTGAATCTTGTTCTTTATGCTGAGTGTAGAAGATGTACTACAACACACAGTAATGAACTCATGTCTTGCATTTTCAATCCTGACTAGCATTACCATTTTTATGTCCATGATGCCTGGATGAGTTAAAGAGGTGACTAGTGATGCTTGTTCTTGTTGTTATAGTTCGGTAAATCTTCATCACCTCTGTTTTCTCTATGTTCTCTTGAATTCCTGTCTTCACCGCCTATTCCGACAACTTGTTGATTTTCACCTGATACTGGGGGACATATCATACACACGCAAACACACAAGGTTCAGAGATCCAACTGTCTTCTCATCATTATGGATAGGATTATATTTTGATAAATCACACAGTGTGTTGTTGTACAGTAATACTTACTGATGACCACGTTTCGAGCACAATTTATTACTGCGTACAATCATATCAAGGCACGACTCACACAACTTTTTTGTTTCATTTATATACATGAGTAAAAATTGATGATTAGAAATTTGAATAAAATTAATATATGAGATAAAGCACATTCGGAAATTAGAATGATTGATCCCACGAAGATAAGCACTGCATGGATGAAAACACAACCACCCAAATGGGATGGGTGGGACAGATTCAAGGTTCCAAAAAGTAATATAGGGAGGTGGGTGGGGAGATAGAGATTGATTACTGAATCCTGCCTGGTTCATCGAGTCTACACCCAACACATGTAACAGAAATGACTGAACGCAAATACCAGAGATATGGAAGATATTATTACCACCAGTCAGTCAAATCAGAGGAGGATAATAAATAATGTTAAAATGTATTCAATTCACATTATAACATTATAACAAGTTACTTATTTATTTTACTAAAAAAACATCTTATTTCCCATCTTATTGTATTTTATTGATAACACTAATATTATTATTTCTGAATGTACTTTGTCTTTTATTGATTTTATTCAAATATCTAATCACCAATTTTTACTCAAGTATATAAACGACTAAGCAAGAAAGTTGTGTGAGTAGTGCCTTGATATGACTTTGAGCAGTAATAAATTGTGCTCGAAACGTGGTCATCAGTTAATATGACTGTATAAATAACACTGTGATTTATCAAAATAAAATAAATACCCACAATGGAATTATCCTCTACCACAGAGCCCAAGTTTTATACTTATGCCTTCCCATCAGTCTAACGTACACCCGTTGTCTCCTCCGTCCCAATGCAGAGTCTGTCAAATGATCCGTTTAGCCACAATCAAGAAATTCATCGATGCTAGTAGACGGCATTGTCTTACTCGTCTCCCCTCTTCATTTCACTGCGAAGGGCTTCGCTAAGAGAATTTCCATTTTGTGAAAGACAATTCGTTGATAAATAGAGGTGCACAAACACACACACAATATACTCCTTGTCCGTTACAGGGTTTCATCATGAGCTGACATTGGTTAGAGAACCACTGGAAAACCTATCCAGCTGTTTCGTCCTAGTTTGGGACTCTTCATTAGTACGCACCCACCGACGGGGTTCGAACCCCAGGTTTTCCAATGGTTCTCTAACCAATATCAGCTCATGATGAAACCCTGTAACCAATCAAACAAATCCCTACAAACTAATACTCGAATATTCCTTGTCCATTGCTGGAGTAGCAGGAGGGAGATTTTAGGACTCGTTGTTATTGAATGAGTGTCAAGTGTTGTTGAGTAACATTTCCAACCACCTTTTCCCATCTACTACTCAGAATAAAGTGAACATTAAGCACAAAATGAATATCACTGACATAAAGTAGACTTATGAAGAGTAATTATTAAACATCGGTAAATGTGTAATGTATTCTTACCCGATTTGTTGACAGTTCAGGACATCGTAGGACACCACCAGTATCTGTGCTTAAACCTAACGGTGGTGGTACTACTACACCTTCATGATGATTACCGCCACCACCAGTTGACTGTTGTTGTAATGAACATGTATTCTTTGCTCCTGTTGTAGTGTTGGTGGTCGTGGTCGTAGATAGTTGGAAGGCAAAGTTGTTATCTAGCCGACTAGCTGCCGTCACTGAAGATGATGTTGGCGGTAATGGTAGACAGCAAGACGATGAATGTGGAGTCTCTTGACCTTGTTGATGGTGAACAGCAGCTGCGGCTGCGGCAGCTGCAGCCATAGCTGCTGCCGCTGCAGCATATGGAGAAGCGGCAACAGGGAACGACGACGGAGAACCAGTGACAAAGGGTAGAGGAAAGACTAAAATAAATTTAAAGAAGCGAAAAAATACATTTATATAAATAATTCAATAATTCTCATTGTAACATTATTTACTAAAAGACAAACTTGGAGCATAGGTTGTTTGTAGGCTGGGATACTCGCTAGCCTCACGACTAGCTTACCAGTCAGAAGCAGGTGATTCTCTTAAGGGAAAACCTCCCATCGTCTTCGAACCTTCGACTTGCAGTTAGATCATGACACAACGCAGTGAAACAGTGTCGGTGACCCTAAATACACGCTATTCGATCTTTTCGGATTCCAGAGCCCATGTACACACTATAGGTTTGGAGTCAGGGTATAATCAGTCCTCCTAGGTGGACCTATTTGCATGTTCAGTCCATTTGTAGGCGCTAGACGTCCACCCCTTCACTTTTATATGAGGAACTCTCCTCCCCAGCAAGTGTGCCAAGGCAGTGATGAACAGGACTTTTAGCTAGCAGAGGTTATGAGCGCGTGTGGCTACCAGGGGCTGTGATACGAACAACACACTAGTCAGTAACTAGTGTAATGTGTGTGTATGTCTAGTTCTGATCTTTGGTGCAGACTGAATTCTGTCAGTCAAATTCGCAATGTGACCACCATACCACTAGGTGGCTTGCCATCACGATGCACTGTGAATTGTCGACTTCAGATTGTTAGAGGCAATCAATAGGCAGGAAGCCTTGGACATACATAGGTTACGTGCTAGTTGGCACTCACCAGTCAGCAAGGCGTACATCTACAAACTTAAAGGAACTCAGGTACCTTTTGAGATTCGAACTCGTGTCACTCACTCAGTGAGTGCTGCAGTTACAGACGTAACAACTGAGCTATTATTATTGACCTCCTGTATGACTCTATTAGATACTTTAAGTGGACACTAACAAGGGTTATGTGTCTAGTAGTAACGTCTCTGACTGGAGCACTGCGGGTTCCAATCTCGGAAGGAATATGAGTCCCTTCAAGATCGCAGATGTGCACGCCCTGCTGTCTGGTGAAAGAACCAAAAAGCATGAAACCTAGGCCAGGTGAGGCTTCCTGCCTCTACTGAATTACCACCACCAATCATCGAATAACAAACAATTCAAAGGGTAACGGGGATGGATGGTGAGCCATATAGGACACAGGTGGCTACATTACAATAATTGACTGACTGACTGATAGAATTCAGTTAGTCTGCATCAAACAAAGGACAAACTAGACACAACACATGACGACACTTACTTACTTACTAACTTACTACCTAGTATCTCTAAATCAAAATATTAATATGTACATATATAATTAAATTCTAAATACAATCACCACAGTAGTCTGGTGTATGTACAATTATATGCAAATATATTTGAAAATATGCATGATCATATATCTATATATATATCTAGAGAGAGAGGTGATCAGGTGATGAAACCACCCAAAAGTTGGGGTTATATATGAGACTTCTATTGAAATGAAGGTATTGTTGAAATTTATTTAAGGCCCCAATTAATTAATTTTTATCAAAAACACAGTCTGATTTCAGTGTTATTGTTGAATTGAATAATTCAAAGCACTAGCAACAGTTGTACTCTTTATAATCGTCTGATGACCAACAGATAGTTAAGCAAAAAAAAATCACCTGATTTGATAATACAATGAATGAGCGCATAAGGCTGTGATGATGAATGACAACAGACATTACAGGATACACGCACGCACGCAAACACAGACAAACAATATTACTAGTTGATATGGATTAGTAGGCGAGCTAATCGGCGGAGGTTGCGAGACTACATTGACGTGTTGTGTGTGCCTAGCCAATCACCTGCCTCGTCGACAAATGATAGTTGGACTTGGAATTAGGATAAAAGAGAAGACTAAGGAGTGGGGTCAAATCAAAAATAGCCATTAGTCCATGATGCCTTTAACAACTGGTTTAAGCTAGCCATGTATGTAGGAAGGTGTCTGGTTAAAGAATTCAGGGTGCAAAGAGTTAACAGCTAGAGACTATTGGTGATATTGGCTCAAAACTATTCTCAACGGCGTAGACGAATTCATTCTATGTAATCTCCTAAAGAAATGGCTTTCTACGGACACGTAGAAGCTAATAGAGAAGAAAAGGAGGATGAACCAGAAAAAGAAAGTACGCAAAGATGGACAACAACAAGAGGAGAAACTGAGTTCAATGTACAACGCAGTGAATAAGGGAGTGAAGAAAAGTGAGAAGAAAAACGAAGGACAATTCCACGACGCCAGAAGCGATTGAAGCAGAACAGACAGCAGGTAAAAAGGGACTCAGGACATTATGTCAGATAACCAGGTCTCTATCCGCGAAGAGACCAACGCAGATGAAACCTATAAAAGATGGTCAAAGGAACCTAATTACCAAAGACAAGAAAAAAAAGGTTGATCAATTCAAAGGACTCCTGAACCGACCAACCCCTACAACTCGTCCAGATATACCACCGACTGCAGGCACAGAACTGCCAATTGACACCAACCCCCCAACAAAAACAGAAACGGTGAATGCAGTCAAGTTACTTAAGAATGGAAAGGCTTCAGGAGTTCCCCCTGGAGCACTCAGAACGGATCCTGAGACTGCAGCGGATATTCTTACGCTACTATTGCAAAACGTTTGGAAGGAAGAAGAACGTACCTACTAATTTGAATGGAGGTTACCTATTCAAACTACCGAATAAGAGTGACAAAAGCCTCTGCTAGAACTGGTGCGGAATCAACTGGTGCTCTTGTCCACTCCAAGCAAAATATTAAGTCGAGTCATCCTGGAGAGAATAAAAGATGCAACTGGATGCACAAACTGGACTCAGAAAAGGCAAATAAAGTGCTGATCAAATTTCAACTCTACGTATCATCATCGAACAGAGCATTGAATGGCAGTCACCTCTTACTCCAGCTTAACTTCATCGACTTCGAAAAGGCACCTTCAACAGACAGCGTTGACAAAGAAGTAATTTGGAAACTACTTCAACACTACGGCGTGCATTGCCCAAGTCTTTATCAACTTCCTTCAACAGTTGGCTGCACGACAGTGCCGTGTCAGGTGATCCACAAGGGGAAACTCAGCGAAGCCTCGGAAGTGAACTCATGAGTAAGACAAAGCTGCCTACTATCGCTGATGATATTCCTACTTTTCGTGCACTGGACATGCTTCAAACTTTAGGAAGCGAATAGTGAGGAACACACTGGACCAGCAAGAAGACTCGAGAATACCCAGGCTTCGCGAATGATTTGTCTAATGTCATATAAACTCGAAGATCTGTAGGGGGCAAACTAAAAAACTGGCAGAAGAAGAAGGCAGACAGATAAGACAGGACTTCAGGTGAACATGGAGAAGATGGAGGTGATGAAAATAACCAACCAACAGCAAAAACAACCAGGATCTATCACTACAAACGGAAGAAATTCGAAAGACGTCACTTCGTTCACGTCTCTAGGAAGCATCGTTTCAAATACAGGAGGAATGGATGGAGATGTCAACACTAGTGATAATCGGAAAGGCAAGGTACACATTCATCAACCTGAAACCAGTTTGGGAATCTTCTGCTTCAGTCAGCCAGTCAGCATAAAGAACGAGATTCGAATTTTCAACACAAATGTAAATTCAGTCAGTCAGTTTTCCTATACGGGTCAGAAACTTAACCACCTTGCCACAAAAAGGATTTCCAAAAAGCCACTGAAGACTTTTACCATCAAATGCCTTCGCTGGCTACATTCGGAAGACCAAATGGCAAGCTGACCAGCCAGAAAGAACTAACAACAAAAACTAGGCAGTGGAATAAACCAACCGTCAACAGCCGATTGTTCAAAAAAATATGTAGGAGAAAATGGAGATGGGTTGATCGAGCATAACTTTGAGGAAACCGTTGAATGACATTGTGCATCAGGAAATTACTCGAATGGAACCCGAATGGGAAACAACGAGTTCGGCTTAGATACGAAGGTAACATGAAGGAGATCGTATGAGGAGGAGGAGGAGATGAGAGCTTACGGGCAGTCGTGTAGACAAGGTCGAACAAAATGGAGATGTGCTGTTGAAGTCCTATGCTACAGTAGGAACCCACATAGTAAGGCCTAATTAACTTATAATTGCTGTCCAAATTTGTCTGTCTGTCTGTATTCGACATAGAACTTTGCACCGATGTGCAGCAGTTCAAGGCGCCACACTCCCTCAATTTAGCACACAAAGCAAGAGAAGAAAGTAGGAGAAATGCATAGTAGAGACAGTAAAGAGAGATATGAGAAAAAAGGAATAGTAATAACGAAGAAAAAGACAGTTTCATTGGAAATCATAAGTCACAGGGAGCAGATGAATCTGAGCCATTGAGAACGATTTTCAGCCATATCACCAATTGTTTCCAGCCATCATTGGTTTTTACCGTTTAGAGGACCCCAACCAGTCAGGAAGTCTACATCTTCCTACGTGACTGGCTTAAACTAACTGTTGTAGATTTCATTGACTGATGAAGCAATGTTTTGGTTTGACCGCATCTAGCTCTTTTCCAGCCTGACCCCATGTCATCTAACATTTCCCGTCGAGGAAGGCGATGACTAGGCATACGTAACACATGTCCTAAACATCTCTGTCCAAATTTACTTTTTCTTTTTTTATGTTGGATTGATCTATTTGAACACAGAACGCATTACAAGTACACGTTATCAGGTCACGAAGAAAAAGCAACAAAAACAGAAACGAAATATCACCAGATTTTATGATATCATCCGACACTATTGTGAATGAAATTAAGCCAAAGACAAAAGGCTGTATACTTGTAACAATAGAACACCAGAGAAATGATAAAGGAATGTTCACTTAGAATTTAGTATCTCTATATAGCGAGATTATATACACCTTATATCTTCAATGCACCATTTGCACACAGATCATCCGCGTGTTGTGCCTGCTACTTCTTCTCGCCTTCCTTTTTCATATTGTGTGTTTCTCATTGTGCTCCATTCACATCTCCCGTGTATCTCCAGCAACGCTGTATCATCATTTGCTT